ATTTTTAATATTATTGTAGTTTAGTTATCTCAACTTGAAGTAGTCTTAGAGTCCTCTTTTCCATTTACCCCTTTAATTCTCTCCCCTATCATTGGGTGGGGGTGGGAACTGTGTGAGTGGGTGTGTGTGGCTTGGCCCCCAGCCAAGGGCTAACCCAGCGCATAAACGTAGCTGGCTCTGGCTGAGAGTGAAGTTTTCTGGTTATTATCTTATCAAGCATATACATATATAATTGCCTGTGCTGATTGCTGGTACTATAGTAACTACAGTAAAAAATATTTGAGGATGGACATCTGAATGTACTGTGTCAATGGTGGGAAAGCATACTGGTAAAGGTAGAGATCAGGGTGATCAGAGTCAAAGAGGGGATCAGGAATAGTGACCATGCAGAAGAAATGACTGTGCATGTAAGGCTCATTTATATTCTGATTGCTAAATAACAGATATGTCCTATACAAATGCTTACAGATTGTCAGTGTGCATATTGCTTAGTCTCTTATATTGCTCAGTTGTTCGCTGTTATCTGTTCAGTTCCTCTGGATTACAGGGAATTCTTAGTGAGAAGAAAGCAGATGGGTTTTAACGAAGGCCAAAATTAGACTTGATTTTTGTGGTGAAAGTTGTGTGAAGTCAATGTAATGAGGGCAACTGAGCATCTCTGAAAAATTCTGAAATGCATAAATCTAGAATTCAGATGGAGGGAGGTGAAATGTACCTTGGTTTTTCAGGTCTGTAAATAAATCCTAATAATAGAATGCAAGATTTGTATTTCGTTTAGTTCTCTTTTTTAATCTGAGTATTTTACTCTTTGCCATTTTAAAGCTTTCCTGCAGTTGGAGAAAAAAGAACAAAAACTAACCATTGATCAGCCATCTAAAGGAACAAGGAAAAATTATTCTTTCACAAATGAAGAAGTAAGACAGATTGATCGGGAAAACCAAAGGTTGCTAAAAGAACTGTCCAGGCAGTCTGCAAAGCCAAGAAGAAGTACCACATTGAAGAAGTCAGCCCTACCGCCTCCTAAATTGTACCACAGTGCACTCAACAGGCAAAAGGAGCAGCAAAGAATTGAAAGAGAAAACCTAGTAAGTTTTGAGAACTGGTTTGGATCAGTAATTTGAGAAGGACTATTTGTTGTCAGATGAACTACTGCTAAGTACTTACAAAAACTGATAAGGCAGCACTTGGAGATTTACTGCAACGAATTTCTGGTACTTTGCTGTTTGCATAATTGTTCAGATGTTTTTGGAGGGAGGGAGGTGATACTTTTTTCAGATGAAAATAGATTTTAGATTATATGAGTTTGCTCTACGTAAGTATCATTGATTAATAGGAACAACCATTATTGTTAACACACTCATAAGTTTGGATGGCAGTCTGACTCTATTCATCCTGCTTCATGCGTCATGATTACTAGTCTCTCAAGAACATGCTTGCAAAAACTGAAGTAATAAATATGATAGCATCAAACCTATTATATTTGAAATACAGAGGATACGATGTGAATGTCAGTTTTGGTTTTTGACTCATAGCTATCCATCTCTTTCAATAGTTGTAGTGCTCTGCTTGTCACAGTAACTCTAGTGGAAAATGGAAATTCAGACTCATAAGGATATTAGCAAAAATAATACTGGTTTGAATAAGGTATTTTTAGTGATTGAATTGTAATACATAAAATGACATTTTCATATGTCCTAGTTGTTCACTAGTGTGTTTGAGAAGGAGATAAAATATAATTAAAATATCTGGAAAATTTATAGTGGAAGTAATTTATTTACTTTTTTCTTCTGTGTAAATGTAGGTTGCAGTTTCCTTTATTGATAGACAGAGATACAGGTTCAACATGGAGATAGTCTAATTGACCTGTTCAGGAAAATGTTAGCTTTTAGTTCTTCCACCTTTCAGACATCTAGATTGTTAGAACTTTTCAAAGTAGGAGACTTTTGCCCCAGCTCCACTAGACTGCAGTTGACCAAAAGAACATTATACTTCACACAGTGGAAGAATTTGGCATAAATGCTTCCTATAGATGTGTGATACTTCTCATTGTCTGGGGAAGTTTTTAGGCTTCGGTGTTTTTAGGTTGGTAGGAGGGCTTTCTTCATCTGTTGTGGAGGGGGTGGGGGGTTTGTTGTTTTTATTTATTTAAAGCATCAAAAGCAGGACTTGCTCTTCCAAATGAGCCTTGGTAATAAGAGTGTATTAGGCTGTGGGGAGGAGGTGCTGTGTCACAGTCACGATCTAACAGTAATATGCTGTACAACATAACAATAGATGATTACTGTAAATTAATGTATATGATATTTTACATACACTTCTGATTACACAAAGCAACAAACCTTTTCTCTTATGATATATTGCAATATTTTGTCTGAGAATGTCTTGCCTTTGCAACTTCTGGATCAAAAATTCAGCAAAAGTAAACAGTCATTTCACATGTTGCTATTTTAGTATGTTAGAGATTAATGATGGTTGCTTGTAGTCTGAGAAATAATATCCTTCATTTACTTATTAATTTTTGCTTTAGTTGTTGTTATCAGCAATGCGGTAGACATGTTTGACATCAGAATCATTCCTTAGAATTTATGTTAGGACATCATGCTATTTTAGACTGTAAAAATGTTTGGCTATTCTTTTCCCCAAACTCAGGATGATATATTCTGCTCCTGTTTTCGGAAGAGTGATTCATCAGTACAGCTCTTCTTTTTTATTTAACATTGCTATCACTCTTGAGCAGTTCTGTTCACTTTTTTTATTCTGTTTGAAGTGTATGTGCACCTAGAGCATCACAGTTCTAACATTGATTTTTATAGCACTACCTTTTGAGGTTACAAGTATGACATGCTTTCCTCAGAGACTGTAAATGAAAGAGCTGCCCTACCCTGCCCAGTGATGAGGTTTTTTTTGCTTCATATAGTTAAAAGTATGTGCTTTATGAACTTGTTGTTTTCTTCTGGCCTCAGCTATTTTCACCTTTGTAGATTGTGAGCTGGAATTCCATGGAACTTCGTTATCCATCTTTCTTCTATTACTTGACAGTTTTTTATTTGTTGTTTTGTTGTTGGTTTTTTTATACAAGGCCTGAGGTACTGCATATAGGATATGCTGCTTGATACACCTTTGTGAAATGTTTGTTGGAGAAAGATGCAAGGTTTTGTAAATAATTCAAGAACAGAAGTCTACAACAGTAGCCTGTGTAGGGGGTTAAAGAGTTTTGATGCAGAGATTTTTTTTTTCTTGTTGGATTACAGCTTTTATAATTTCTTGGCCTGAGGTTAACACCTTGGCTAGGGAAAACTTTGACTTGTTCTGCTAGAACATTATTGGAGTAATGCCTATATTTAGATTTATCGGAAAGACAGCTTGATTTCTGGTGCAGGCATTTGGCATCAGAGGTAATACGGGGAAAGTAATTCAAATATTAGGATATTAGAGAGGAATCTGAGTATTTTGATGCTTGCTAGCTTTGTGAAAGGATGCAAAGAGGTGCAGGAAATTTATGTTGCTCCCACAGACTCTGCTAGAAAGAGCTGTGCTGGAATAAAAATGTGCATTGCTCTGAAGAACAGTAGTTATAAGGTAGTGGTTAGCAATTTATGGAAAAAGCACAAATAGCAAAATAGATTGCTGTTAAATATAATGTCAGAATTTTGTACTTGCTGCTTTTGACTGTGTGACTTCGTAATTGGAACCTGCTTTTGATTGCTTATTGGAGTTTGCAAGAGCAGAGCACATCTCTTGCCAACAGAGGATGCTGCTGATTCAGGAAGCGTTCTACTTGTTTTTGAAGAGGCTTCCAACCCTATCTCCTCCCCAGTGGAAAGGGACAGAAGTGTGCCTGATGTGTGTGTTGTTTTTTTTTTCCCCCATGTCTGCATATATGTGTCTCTATCTGTATTGACATATTAATCATTATTTCTGCCAGTATAAATAAGATAGTCAACTTTGTAGACTGGACACTACATACCATTTAAACTGGTCATTTCAAGGTCCCCAAATACAAGATTTGCAGCCACCACACCATTTTTCAGTCACTTCATCTAAACTTGAAGTAATTAATATCTGTGTGTTGGGTTTTGTTGGGATTTTTCATCATTTTTATTAATTCTGACTAGGATTTAGGTGCACACTTACTAGGATGCTGCGTACTTACGTGGCTGTAGAAAGAACACCAAGGTTGTTTGGCCTTATGGGTCTCAGTCTGGACAAGAAAGGTGCAGGGAATGCAGTTGTGAAAGAGAATGTAGTCTTCTGGGTCTTCTTAGGAGCTCTGAAATATTCATGTTGGTTGGTTTCCTTAGAAACTTAAGCACACTGGGTTTTATAAGGTATTTTCACTTACTGGTTTCAAAGCCATTTTATGCCAAGACTAAAGACAATGTTGGTAGTTCCTGAGATTACAAAGTGTAATGCAAAAAAAAAAAAATGATTCCATGGCCCTCTCATTAGGGGAAGCTATCAGGATGTGGGATAGGTTCATAGATGTGCCTGGCTAAAATACACTGCAGTATGGTGCAAATATAATGCAATCTCTGATCATAGTATTTAGGCTATGGGCTCTTTGTGGTCAGATTTTTTGTGGTCTGCTGATTCCTGACCCAGACTCAAGATTCCAGAGTGCTGCTGTGGTAATTATAATAAAGCCTAATTGCCAGGTTCAAGGAAAGTTTTGGTTATTTTGCACACTGCTCAATTTTGTGGGATTTTTGTCTTTTGCTACTCTTAGCCTGCTTTCTTTGTGTTGATGCCATCCACACGTAAACTTGATAGCTGTTCAGTTGAAAAGACACTTCTGTCAATTGAAGATCTTCAAGAGGTTTTTTTTTGTTTAGAGTTTGTCAGGCTAGAGCTATTTAATGCAACTATCAATTGAAGAAAATTACAAACACTTGTATTGATAAGAACAGAAACGTGTTCTTGAATGCACTGTTATCTACTTCCCCCTGCCACCCAGACTCTGCAGAGGGACAGTGTGGTCACTAACATCAGTGACGTTAGAGGAGGCATAATATAAATAAATTTCAGCAGCTGTCAAGGCACACTAGTCAGCTGGTTAGGATTCAAAGGAGGTGAAACTGAAGCCTTCATGCATTTAAAAAGCAAAGCAAAACAAGAAATCGTAGTGGTTTTTACCTTCTCTCTGAACTCAGTTTAGGAGTGCTGCATTTTCAGTGGTTTTTTCTTTCTTTTTCAACACAGCTGCAGAAAAGTATGTACTGATTTCTTTTTTTCTTTTTCCTTTTTCTGACAGCATTAGAATTAGCTTTAGTGCTCTCCTGATATGCCTGAAGTTGAATTAGCAGCATTTATCTTGGCCAATTCTATAGCAGCAATCTTTTAATACAGTGTCAGGTTCCTTTGTTCTCCAATTGTTGGCAGTCTGACATTTCCTTCTGCCATTGACATGTGTATGTACATGATATATGTATTTTAGTGTCTTTATAGATACTAATCTATGTCCAGATGCCTAGGATTAGCCTGTTCCTAGAAGGGAATCATACGGAATCATACAGGAACACCTTTTTTTTTTTTAAATGTTCTACTTTTATTGTAAACTCAATATTGCAATGAAGTAGAAGAAGATGTGGGAAATACTAGCCTTGGGAGGCTTTTGCCAAACTGAGAGGTCATCAATGGTATGATATGATAAATGTATTGAACTTGAATCAAGAGCTCTGAGGATCTACAATGCAATTTAGAGCAACTAAAGACATTCCTGCCATTAGTGTTTGTTGCTCTTTTTTATGATTATTTTATTCCTTAAATCTGATCGGGAACATATATTTGGTTCTGAACACCTGGATGATGTTGCGTGATCTGATTCTTTGGTCATTAAGATCAATGATGAAATTTGCATTACTTTAATGGTGCGGATTTACCACTGTACAAGGTAGTGACTTGGTTAAGGACTTAAGATGGTAGGGTTGGTAATAAAAACATAAGAATTTGATCAGTTCCAGGTTACAGATGTAGGTCAGGACTGCTATTTCAATGTGTTGATGAGTTCATTTCTGTATGCAGCAGGCCATTCTCCAAACTGCAAAATTCACAGCCACCAATAGCATGTAAGTTAGCATGCCCTTGGTACAGTTTGCAGCAGAGGGCAAGGGAAGCACAGGAGCTATTTTCTCATTCTCTAGAAGAGCTTTTCTTAGAACACTTCTGCACTACACAATCTATATCTGCTCTTTCTGTAGCTCGGGGCTGTATCAAGTCCAATGTTTACCTGTTCAAAAAGTAATATTCTAGTGCTGGGAGAGGTCTCTTTTTTGTTTTAATAATGGGGACTTGATAATTGTCAAAATACAGGCATAAAAGCAAAAGCAGAGAATTGTATTTAAAGTAGAATAAATGTGTAAATATTGTATGTTCAGAATCAAGCTTGAAACTACTGCAGTTGCAAGGTATGCAAATTCATGAGGCTGTTACAGTTGGAGTGCAGACTTGAAACATGCTCGACTCTCATACGGAAGTCACTTCTACAATTAATCTATTTGTGATCGGACTGAACGTGTGGAGAGCTTCCATTTTTAATATTAGTAGTAAATATGTGATCTCTGCAAGTCTAAATGTATGTGTTGTATTAGGATATGCAGATGAAATTGTGAGTAAAATGTTGGATGTAACATTTAGAGGCAAGTCTACCATTTCATGTTCTGCAGCTGGCTTTAGTGAAGAGCTATTTATAGCTGAAGTCCTTCCTTTGACTTTTGCTTACTTAGGTATTTCCAGTTGATGATGAACTGACTGGCACTTGATGCAAGCACTTGTGACATATTATGCCTGAGCCAAAATCACTTGTCCTTTCTCTCTTGTGCACTTTGTATAGGTTTCCAGTGCTCATGAGCATAAACTACCAAGAATTTGTAGATTCCTATTACAGCTAGACGATGACAACTGACATCCTGCGAATGCTATACTATTTCCTGAGTCACTTTGTGTAAATTTTTTTATTCTTCTCAAAAAAAAATCAGTACATGATTGGGAGTGGGAAAGAATGTCATGCAAAGTGCAGTTTAATAGCTGTACAGACAGATTCTTTACTTGCACCGTACAAGTATGCATCTAGACAGTACATCCTTATTAGCAGAGGTATTTTTAGTGCTTTGGAGACTTTTGTGTAATCACAGTTTGCATTGTCTCTCGTTGATAGGATGCATGTCATAAATCTAACCAGCAATGCTTGTGCCATAGACAAATACTTGTAGGTCAGCAAATGAATTTAAATTAGTTAGTGGAGGGAATGTATAGATCTATGTGAGGGAAGAACTGGAGGCAAAATATATTAAATACATGAAGTTGTTAATTGGAAGTTGTATGTAGCTGGGTACTTCCAAATTTGTCCTGCCATCAGGTTCTTTTTTTAGATTATGGAAATTTCTTACACCGATAAATCCTGTTTCAAGTAGAAGTAGTTACGCAGAATGGGAAACGGTCTCTATCTTACAAATACTATGTAAGTAGCTGTTATAATTTAAAGCTTGCTGCATGATTGCCAGGGTTAATCTCAACAACAGGAAATGGTGTCTATAACAATAATTTCAACTAGAATATCTTAAAATTACATTGTGGATAAAACAAATAGTGTCTGGTGGATGCTTAGGCTTTTGTTTTGACATTACTTTCACAGAACTGAGGTCAGTAATTCTTTCTGGGGATCCTGTAGGGTAATATAAAATGCCGTAAGTATGTTTGCAAAGCAAAGATTAAAAAGAAAAAAACTGGCTTTTCATCCTCCTGGTAATTCAGAAGAGAGGAGTAACCAAAGGTAGGATTAGAAGAGCAGAGCCCATCTTCTCACCACCTTTACTATTGCCAAACAGGTGTGTTGTTAAAAGTTATCACAAAGTACAGAGAACTAGGGGGTATTAAAGATGTACTCAACAGGGAATTGGTGATTATGTAAGGGATAATTACTATTTGTGTCGTTTTATACCATGGAGAAAAGAATTGAATGTGAGCAGGATGCTGGTCACCAGTGGAGGAGTTCATGTTGCGCAATGCTAAAAATTTGGGGGGTTTTTTGCAGTTCAGATAAAAAACCAATTTGTGAATATTTGTTTTATAGCTTTGTGTTCATTCTTTCTCAATCATATTTTTCTTTGATATTGAGGCTTTCCTGAAAAGACTGGAAGCAGTGAAACCAACAGCTGGTATGAGGCGTTCTGAACAATTGATGGACTATCAGCGCCAGATGAGTTATCTAAGTTCTTCATCGTCTGTAAGGAGAGGAAAATCTGCTTTCAGCCAGCTTAGTCCTTTGAGTAAGTACTTTGAGGTTGAAGATTCTTGCATTTCTTTGCATGTGTTTATCTTTTTATAAATCATAATTGTGAAGCACTTAGTGGTGAGAATAGCAAATAAGTTCCTTCCTCTGTCTTCCTTAGATTGTATCACTCAGAAATCATTAAGCTGATTTTTTTAATCATACCAAAAGTGTGATGACTGTATGAATTGTTTTACTTCCCATCCTAAATTATCTTGTTAAGCATCTCCTCTAAGAAGGTCAAAAAATCCCTGTTGTAAAGAAATATTTCTCATTTTGTCAGTACCCTTTATTGAAAGGAAAAAAAAACAACACAAACACCAAAAAAGGTTCAAATTCTCATTCAGAAGATGTAAATCTACTGATAGCCTTGTTTCTCTTGGAATTTGTGCGTGTAATATTTGGAAGTAAATCATATGTCCCCTTAGGTTCATACATGTCAGGTTAAAGAACCACAGCACTTACGGCATAGGCTTGAATTATTTGTCCTGACCATTTGCAAACAACTCAGAACATTTTTGGGTTTATATTCAATGTATTGTGATTTTTTTTTTTTTCTGGAAACTCTGGTAATGAGTGTTGCAGTACAGATATAGCATGAAGTTTTCTGCTGTACTGAGCATAAGCGTTCTCGTTTTGTGTGTGTGTAACAGGAGGCACTTCAAGAGCATCTACTCTACCAAGTACGATGAGCCAGAGGAACGAAAAACCCACGTCTGATTCAGCCAGTGGAGCATTACAGAGACCTAAACCCACTAATGTTCGTGCTGCTTGGTTATAAGTGTGTTCTTTGCCTTGCATTCTGAGATGATCCTTGGTTTTCTGTTTTTAGTGCTCTTGTAAAATCTATGTGCAAAAATATTTTCTGCATTGTTCAGTGACTGAAATGCATTGCATATGATATAATGCTTATAAAATGGTTTTAAGTGAACACTTTCCCTTCGGTCAGTGTTTTCCATGACAGGAAGAACTTCAGAAAGGGGAGGTATTTAAACAGACAAGGACAAGTGAAATAGAAATTGCTAATTATTATTTTATTCTCAAATCATAAGTAGAATTTGTATCATAACATGGAAGGACAGAACTGCTGCACTATAGGTGCAAGGTGTAAAGAAAATCTTTAATAATCTTTTAAAATACTGCATTAAACTCATGAGTGTATTCTTCATTCCTGGATCATCCTTGTTTTTCATCCGGACTCTAGGTAAGTCTTCTGAACTTGGTAGGTCATGTTCATATGACTGAAAGACTCTTCTTTTTACAGCAGCATGAAGGAGTGAAAAGCAGATTATGTATTCCTGCATGGTTGACTAGAATACTTAGGCTGCAGAAGATGTTCTGCCACTCTTGCACTCCAGGTGTTGAGCGTTTGTCTTGTACTCAAGGCTGTGTCTTTTCCAGATTTAAAAGAATTTCGGAAGTTGTATTGGGACCTTTGTGTAGGAAAGAAGCACCTGATACTATTTGAAAAAGAGTAAAGACTGAAGTGAACAACAGTTTCAAATTCACTCTAAACAAGAGTAAGTTTTAGTTACTTCTCAATCTAGAGTATACTAAGCAAGGGAAATATTTCATGGCCCTGCTTTTGCAAATCCTTGCCCTTCTCAGTGGGGAGATACAAACTTGAGCTGCAGGAAACTTGAATATCTGACTTTGAGAGCAGCTACCAACCAGGATTTAAAGAAAAACAAAAACAAAACCAACAGACAGTAGCAAGTAGAAAATCTTGTTCTTCTTAAGCTGTTTTTTTAATGTCATGTTCATATCAGATATTTGTAGTAGTGTCAGATAAGCTTCAGTAGCAACATTGTTTACAAGAGGAGCCAAGTTTAATGGAATTGGTAATTGCAAATATTAGCTGGTATGCTTTATTTCTATACATAAAGGCAAACTTTCAGTGAGCTTATTTTGTAGGACTGTATTCTTACAAAGAGTATAAATTGTGATGCCACTATCCATGGATATTGGTGGAATCCTGCTTGTTTCCCCAGCTTCTTCCCAAGAGAGATACAGGAAGTCTCTTGGTATTATGCATAAAGAAAAAAAAGCTGTATTCAGTAATGCTGGGGCTAAGGCCCTATGAAAAGGAAAGTTTATTATTCTTCGCTCGTGCTTGCATGAGGGCTTAGGCTTTCAGGTATTCTGCATTGTAACAAACTTTTTACTTGGTCCTGTGTGATAGTTTGGCTGCACCTCGTGACCTGCAGATCAAATTTAGCTGTTTGACAATATTTGAAGTTTTAACTTTAAGCAGCATTGTGGTAAACAGATTTTTATTGCAATTATTATTCATTGATAGGGAGTGTAAGGAATTTTTTGCGTAGTGCTGCTGTATTTATTTGTACTATTGTGCTAATTAAAATTATTCAGTATTTAAAGATTTTTGTCCTTGAATGTGAATATTGGGGTCACAGTTTAAATACTTTTGAATGTTCATATGATAATTTTTTTTCTGTGAAGGAATTCATGAAATGGATTACTTTTAATCACTTCATTTTATTTAACTTTGGTATGAAAGACTCAATTTTGTATGTAATTTTTGTAAATCATAATAAAGTATTTAACATTGTTTGTCATTGCAGTGGATTCTTTCAGAATTTTATAATTGTTATTAAAGTGCAAAGGAAGTCATGGGAGAAGTGTTTTATACTAGGTGTAGTGGAGGAAGATGCAAAGAATCAGTTTATTCATTGATACACTTTACCTGTTAGTGACTTTGGTGTGGGTTTTTTAAACAGATCTTCATTAAGTTAGATAATCCCATAAGATTTTTATAGCAAAAAATCCTGCTTCTAGTAAGCTTGTTTTCTTTTTTGTAAGCTGACACTTTATGTTCTCTTCTACTTTCTT